GTAGAGAGAGGCAGGGAGGGATATTCTGTAACTTCCTACCCCTGCCTGTCTCCACACACAGTGACCCCTACTGGCCGGTGCTGGTATTGCAGAGTAATTTACATTTATTCTGAGAAAAATACCTGCATTTGTATTGCCGGTATTACTGCAATACCGGCACGGCCAGGCAGCCTCAAATACCATCTGTGCCATTAAAATACCAGTCAGGTGGCAAACCTAAGACTAGTATGTAAAAAAAAAAAATATATATTTATTTTTTTTTATTTTTTTTAATGGGCCTATTCCATGGGCCTGGGCCTGGGCCTGGGCCTGGGCCTGGGCCTGGAGCTGCAGCTCCATCAGCCCCTATGTTAATCCGGCCCTGCCCGCAGGTCAGTAAGTTGTTGCAGCGCCTATCTCCGTTTGTGTGGGGTATTAAGCCCTCTCACATTATGAGTTAATATATTAAATGTGGAATCCATTGTATTCAGATACAGCTATTAGGTCATTTACCCAGACACATTTGTGCCCCGACCTTTAAAACATGTGACATAGCTCTCCCACCCACCTTTCCAGTGTAGTATCCACCTTATCATATATATGGTAAAACAGTATAGGTGAGAAATCAAAACATAAAAGATAAACAGTAAACAAAATTATAAACAATGTTAGGGGCCTAACAATGAAAGACGCCGCCTAACAGTAGATTTTGTGCAGAATCAGAGGTTGGGCACCATATGAACCCTTTAGGTCCTGCCTCTTGTGATCCACGTGGAGGTGGGGCATAAGCCAAGCCTAACTATGGCTTGGAAAACTTGCCATATATAGGGACGTACATGTGCGTTCCAGGTTCGGTGCACAACACAAGAACTTGTAGGGCAACCTGGACCGCCCCCACCCCTCACAGTAGCTATAACAGTGCAACCAATAACTTGCCAATGAGCATATCATCTTAACCACAGACCTGGCCTAAAGGGATAGTTGTAGGTACAGTTACAACAACAGTATAACATTTCATCTCTTTTTGTGTTTTTTTTTCTATTTTGCTATTTGCATTAAGCTGAAGTGGTCTGGGTGCCTAGAGTGGTCCTTTAAGGGTTCAAAGTTTTACACAAAACTTTGTCTTAGAGAAGCTTACCACCTTATGAGGATAAGGGAGAGAGATGAATGGAAGACTGCCTTTAATACACGTAGTGGCCATTACTCTTATAGGAGCTAATAACTTATGTACTATGAGATATATTACCCACATGTGCTGTAGTATATCTCAATAATATTCTGATCCATAACTCAGATGTCCACTCTCATTACCAACATGTCAGGGTCATACTGAAAGGCTACTAAAAAATGGTCTATTCTGCAAATTAGTCAAGGGCCTCTTTAGTCAGAAGAAGCCTATTCAATTCCTGGGTTATATTATTCCAAATCAGGGTTTAGCATGACTCCTATGACAATACACTCACGGTTGCTTCCACAAGGACATAAAGCCCACCAACACTTTATAGCCTTTGCTAATTATTATTAGAGTTGAGCGGACACCTGGATGTTCGGGTTCGGGATCGAACTTGACCCCAAATTTGACCCCCAACCTCAATGGGGACCCGAACTTTTGAGCACAAAAATGGCTCTAAAAAAGTCCTGGTAAGTGCCCCGCAAACAAATGTGGATAGGGAAATCACTTAAAATAACATAAAATAAGCAGCTGCTTAGTAGATAATTCCCTAATTCCCATGGTATTAGGGAGCTATCTACCAAAAGGCTTTACTAATACTAAGTAAAGATTACTAAGTAAATTTACTAATACTAAGTAAAGATTACTAAAGATTACTTATTATTAGTAAATTCAGCCCCTACTCGCTATACCGTGAATAGACGCATTTCAAGTAAACAGTGAGCTGCCAGTGGCTGGGGGCCCTAAATAACAATAAGGGGGGGCCTACTGTCCTCCCCCCCAGCCCCCAACCCTGCGCCGCAGGTGGGGGCCTAAATAACAAAAAGGGGGGACCTACTGTCCTCACCCCCCCCTGCCCCCACCCCTGAGTGGTGGGTGGGGGCCCTAAATAAAAATTTGGAAGGGGGACCTAATGTCCTCCCCCCCAGCCCCCACCCCTGAGCATTGGGTGGGGGCCATAATTAAAAATTGGGGGGGGACCTACTGTCCTCCCCCTGGCCCCCAACCCTGCGTGGCGAGTGGGGGCCTTAAATAACAATAAGGGAGGGGGACCTACTGTCCTCCCCCATGGCCCCCATCCCTGAGCGGTGGGTGGGGGCCCTAAATAAAAATGTAACCCCCCCAGGTGACTAGGGGTCCCCAAACCCCTAGTCACCCCCTCCCACCCAAAAAATAACCCCTACCTACCCCCGTCATCCTAAAAATAATGAGTGGGTACCCTTATCTAAATACCTGTAAAAAAAGAAAATAGATTTACCATTTGATGTCTTCTTTCTTCTTTTGGGGAAGGGGGTGATTAGGGGTTTGGGACCCCTAGTCACCTGGGGGGTTACATTTTTATTTAGGGTCCCCATCCGCCGCTCAGGGATGGGGGCCATGGGGGAGGACAGTAGGTCCCCCTCCCTTATTGTTATTTAAGGCCCCCACCCGCCATGCGGGGTGGGGGCTGGGAGGGAGGACATTAGGCCCCCCCCACCCAATTTTTATTTATGGCCCCCACCCACCGCTTAGGGGTGGGGGCCAAGGGGGGAGGACAATAGGTCCCCCCCAAATTCTTCTTTATGGCCCCCACCCACCGCTCAGGGGTGGGGGCAAAGGGGGGAGGACATTAGGTCCCCCCCACCCAATTTTTATTAATGGCCCCCACCCACCGCGCAGGGGTGGGGGCCGGAGGGTAGGACAGTAGGTCCCCCCCCAAATTCTTCTTTATGGCCCCCACCCACCGCTCAGGGGTGGGGCCAGGGTGGGAGGACAGTTGGTCCCACCTCTTATTGTTATTTAGGACCCCCACCCACCGCGCAGGGGTGGGGCCGGGGGGGAGGACAATTGGTCCCCCCCTTATTGTTATTTAGGGCCCCCACCCGCCGTGCAGGGGTAGGGGCCAGGGGGGAGGACAATAGGTCCCCCCCTTATTGGTATTAAGGGCCCCCACCTGCCACTCAGGGGTGGGGGCAGGGGGGGCAATAGGTCCCCCCTTTAGTTTAGGGGGCTCAAAAGGGGGGAATTTTTTTTTTTTTAACAGTGAGCAGCCACAGTGGTATAGGGAGTAGGGGCATAATTTAATAATACTAAGTAACCAGCTTATATAGAGGCTGGGTCACATGCTGCACTGGCCAATCACAGCCATGCCATTAGTAGGCATGGCTGTGATGGCTTCTAAGGGCACACGGGTCAAACGCTTGTTGATTGGCTGATCTGCAGCCTTTCAAAATGCGCCATTAAATCACCGAACACTGAACTCCAACCCGAACATACACTGATATGTCCGTGTTCGGGTCCGGGGTCCAAAAAACATAATGTTCGGTACAAACCCGAACTTTACACTCCGGGTTCGCTCAACTCTAATTATTTACTTTTAAGCTACTGAAAATATATTGAAACAAAAGTTGCCTCCCAGGAAGTCTATAAAGACAAAGCTAATTACTGTTTACAGATTTTAAACTGTGACCACCTGTATAATTTTTGTTTTTCTCTGTATATTTTGTGGTTAAGCCCCTAGAAACCCCTGGAGTCTCTACCTGGTACCATAGATAGCTGGTCATAACCGGGCACTTTGCCTTTGCTCTAGTGGCCCAGTGACATCCTCCTGTCTTCCATTTTTGTTTGCTTCTTGTTCAAGGAACTCCCACCCGACCCTGTCAAATGCTTTCTCTGCATCCAGAGACAGAGTCAGGTGGGGTATCCCCTTGCTATTCAAATAGTCCAGAGTATCAATAATCCTTCTAAAATTTTAATGTTACAGTTACCTCCAGGCTAGCTGGAAACTGGACCGCTTGGATGATCTGGATCCCAAAGGCAGAGAAGGAGGAGAGCCACGTCGGTAGTTATTTCATACGAATCCTGTAAATGTAGAGCAATCCCACTAGCTATCATACAGCTAGGATACCCTTTTCCCCACAAAACGAGTCGAGGCTTGCGATTTGAAGGTCAAGCAAGAACTGGCTTTAGTGACACACAGGGGACCGTATTTATGCAAAATCTCAGGTCCAGGGACAGCCCCCTCTGGACCTGATGGGATACAGGGACAATACAAGTGAGGGACCAATAGAAATGTAATGCATCATTTGAAATCGTCACCGCCCAGCTTAGAGATAATGAATCCAACGGTTATTTCAATACAATTATCTCTAAGCGCCCAAAACCCCACGTGTTTTTGCCACATAGAAAACAGAATAAAAATACATAACTCAAACGGTTTTATACATAATTCGTGTTTTCCATAGCCTTAGTTGAGGCGAAACAATTAACCGAAGGGCGATCAGAACCCACGAATGGTATGCAGTATTTCCTCGAACTAAAGTCTGTTCATGTCTTTGGGTTCAGAGTGTGTGATGGCGGCCATGTTTTGAGGTAGACTAATAGGCCGCGGGACTTCACTCTCAAACTTGTGGAACAGGAACCGGCTAGAAGTCTGTACGAATCCCCGCTCCGTCGCTGGAAGTCTCCGGTGTTCGGGAGGCGAATGAAGACCGCCGGGAGGGAGTACTTAACCTGCGGTTAACGGCAGAAACCAACATTCTAATTGGAGCCACACGCCAGGCTGTAGGTGGCCCTTTGTTCGGTACTTGTTCGGTAATTAGAGTATCGGGCGATGGGGCGCGAACGTGGACTCCCTGCTGTCGTCAATTAGGTTGCAGTTAACCGCAGACCGCAACTCTCTGGGCGATTAAGTGGAGACACACTCCGCTCGTAGGGTGGTCGGCCGTTTGGCTGTTCCCGGGGTTAAGTGGCGGCACACGCCAAGATCCTGGTGGTCTGCCGTTCGTATCATGAATAGCCAGCAGGCCCGTAGTTTGGGAGTTAGGTATCAAAGCTATCTTTTTAACCTTTTCTACTAGCATAAGATTACCCTGTTTTAGATCAAAGAAAACTTTGATAATTTGTCTATCTACACCTTCCAAATTGATTGATTAATGCGTGCACGCTTTCCCTAGAAGTAATTCACACCGGAGACAAAGTTTCTGATCAGTGAAAAACCCAGGAATGCTTTATTCCCCGGAGTGGGGGCTCCTTCTTAAAGCAAAAATACGTCACAGTTTAAACATACAGTATACATTCACCAATTGGTTAACAGTCTAAGGGGGGTCTTTTCTACAGACTTCTGGATACACGATGGGAGGGGGAGTGAGTAGTTTCTTTGAGTTTACTTTAACAGTGATTCTCCATTTTGTTATACGTGGCATATAGCTGTTAACTGGCACAAAGGTAGTGGGGGAGGAGTTAGTAAAGGGAGCTGTTATCACAGGAATTTTGGTTACACAAGGTTTGCTTGATTTGAAGGGGGATGCTTATCAGGATGAAGAATTTACATAGTAAACAGCAACTGAACACATTGTAGGGGGGGAAGGGAATATTTACTCTACAAGCCAGTTTTAACATAGTGAACAGAGAATAAATAGACATCAGTAAATAGCCATTTTATTTTAATTCATCTGTCCATAACAACCCCATATCATATCTATTCTTGATAGAGAGTGGTGAACCCTGGAAAGATGAGTATATTCCATTTACTCCGGATGGAACACCCTCCAAATATCGAATAGGTTATTTAGATTTAGAATATTCATTAGTGATTTTGCTTGTTTTACAGAATGTCTGCTAATAGAAGCGCCTTCTGGAACTTTTTTATCTTGTATTGGATCTATAATTGAGTTAAAATTGCCTGCTAATACAAGAGTACCCTCCTTTACCTCCTCCACGCTTTCCAGAATTTCCCTTAATAAGGTATTTGGTGCAACATTCGGGAGATATATATTTACCCAGATATACTTAATGTTGTCTACTTTAGTTACCAATATCATATATTGGCCATCTTTGTCCAGGAATTAATATAACATTTCTACCTGGATAGCACTAGAACACAATATGGCCACTCCACATTTCTTTTTATTGTCAATTCTTGAGGCATGTATCACTAAAGGGAAACCCATAGGGTTCCATTGACGTTTATCTTTCGTTCACCAATGGAGCTCCTGAAGGAAACATATATCAGCATGTACTTTTCTTAAATAGTTCAGCACCGTTATCCTCTTAACTGGTATATTAAGACCCTGCACGTTTACAGACACCAATTTAACCATAGTCCTGATCTCCTGTTTTCCACTCTATGTCGCCATTCAAATAATAATTAATACAAACATATCTAACTATGCTTTCCACCTACTCATAATGAGAACCTTCCAGGATCTCATATTCCTTTCTTACTAGACACGAATCAGGTGAGTTATTATCAAGATCTTATTTCGCATGATATTTTTCATACGAAATCTATATCTCATTAGAGACATAAAGATGACCAAGCCGCATAATTCCTTTAATTATTTTCCTTTGTTCCCTGTTCGCATCTCTCCATCCGCTTCCCTCTTTTGACATATAGAGCATCTATTCCTTTAATACTCCTCTGCTATTACTTAAAGCGGCACTGTCATGCCGAATCTCGTTTGTTTTTTTTAACCCCCTCCCGCCTCCACTACATCTAATTGACCCACTAGTCACCCCCAAATGCCCCTATGCCCCCCACATTACCTATTTTTTAATGCTTATTTTCTGCCCCGATCTTGATTCAGGGCGCCGCCATCTTTGTGTGGGTAGGTGAAGTCCCTGTGGGACACGTCATCAGCCCACACTAGACAGACACTGAGATTCCCGCACATGCCCAGTGAAACACCTGGACATGCGAACGGGAATTTCATCTATTCATTCATTCATCAGACAGACGAATGAGTGAATAGAAAGATCAGCCGAACAAACAAACACAATGTATCAGTGTATGTTTGTTCGTGCAGTTTATTACAGGGAGGGAGCTACCGGCACGCAGCTCCCTCCTTGTAATATGTAATTATAGAAGCGGCAGGGAGCAGTGCTCCCCACCACTTCATAAGCCCCCCCAGGTCCCCCTCTCACTCTATGGGGGTCAATATGACCCCCATAATAGCACAAGGGAGATTAAAATCTCCCAAATGCCCCTACTCGCTATACTGCGAGTAGGGGCATGTCTACTAAACAGTGAGCAGCCTGTGGCTGCTCACTGTTGAAAAAAATGACATAAATTACAATAAGGGGGGCGGACCTATAGTCCTCCCCCCCTCCCCCACCCTGAGCGGCGGGTGGGGGCCATGAAGATAATGAGGGGGGGACCTACTGTCCTCCCCCCGGCCCCCACCCCTGAGCGGTGGGTGGGGGCCCTAATAAAACAATAAGGGGGGGACCTACTGTCCTCCCCCCCGGCCCCCACCCCTGAGCGGTGGATGGGGGCCCCAGTAAAACAATAAGGGGGGGGACCTACTGTCCTCCCCCCCCCGGACCCCACCCCTGCGTGGTGGGTGGGAGCCCTAATAAAACAATAAGGGGGGGGACCTACTGTCCTCCCCCCCCTGGCCCCCACCCCTGAGCGGTGGGTGGGAGCCCTAAATGAAACACCCCCCCCCCAATCAAGGTGACTAGGGGTCCCAAGCCCCTAGTCACCCCCCCACCCAAAAAAACCTATCCCCTACCTATACGCTGCTCACTGCTTACTACACATGCCCCTACTCGCGATATAGCGAGTAGGGGCATTTAATTTACTAATACTAAGTAATCTTTACTTAGTATTAGTAAATGTGGCTGAAAGACCAATTTAGGTCTTTCAGCCTTTTAGTAGATAACTCCCTGATACCGTGGGAATTAGGGAGTTATCTACTAAGCGGCTGCAAGATGCAGCCACAGCAATGAATAGGATCAGAGTTTCATTCATTAGAATGAAACTCCGATCCGAATAAAGTGCCGAATTGCGTTCTAAGAGAAACGAACAGACTGTTCTCATTCAGTTAGAACGCAATTCGGCAGTTTCATGTAAAATGACAGGAAGCATCGCGGGAACACAGAGGGAAGGTAAGGATCATGGGAAAATTGCTCTGACCAGCGGAAATGAAGCACACTTTGCTCCTTCGCTGGTCAGTCCCTACTTTGTCTTATGATTTTAAAGAAAACTAAAGAAGACAGGAAGAAAAGAAGAACAGATCCTGAGAGAGGGGGAGAAGAGGAAGAGATTGAGGAAAGGTAAGTTCGGCATGACAGTGCCGCTTTAATAATATTCACGATATCATACAGATTATTATCTTCAATAGTGCTTATAAGTTGGTAGTATTTCATATTTCTCAATGGAGAGATATAAAAAAAAAAACTAAACCGGAAATGACTGCACAAAGGGGAAAAAAACGCCAAGGAAAGCAGCTTTAAAAAGGGAACTTACAGACAGAACACCAGAAGCAACTGAGGAAGCCTCCCAGCGAGGCGAAACGCGTTTTGCGCCAAGAGAAACTTACAGACACCTTATTAAAGATTTACCTTTGGACTGTAATACTTTGATTTTTATACTTGTTTTTATACATTTTAATATATTGTTTATACTAGTGCATGTTACAATAAAGCACTTTATACTACTATTAAACCACAAGGAAATATTCGATTTTTTGGAACCACCTTACCCTTCCAAAGAAGGAAATGGGGACCTCTATACTCCACAGAGCTGGATATTTGAGCCTTATATTTCGGGCTCCAACTTTGTTAGTGTATTTCCAATAATTATCCACATTCTAAGATTTAATACTGGCAATATTGCACTATTGTTTGCCTTTTTGTATTTTATCACTAGGAGGATACTTACTCAAGAAATTGTTTTAAATATTAACAAGAAGAGACTCCACCTTATTTGTATGTATGTTTATAAAAAATAAAAAAACTTGCACATTTCCATTCATCCATGCGTCTTGTTGTGCGTATACATGTCATATATTTGTAATACTATAAATCATTTATTGTCTTGGCATCTACACCTTAAAGCTCTCTTATACTATGGCCTCAATTGGTGATCTCTAATTCTAACTTATTATATTCTGTGTAAGTTAATTAAAAAATGTATTAGAATTTGAATCTTTAATAGTGCGTGAGTAATTATTTTTAAAAATTAAGTGTTTTGTATCTTTACATGTGACTATATAAATCCATCCTGTCTATCTATTACCACCAATCTTAAAAGGAGGCTATATAAGGCAAAAAAAAAATTGCTTCCTCTTACCTGCCCTTTTCTCCTTTTGTCTCCCTCACATCTAACCGTATTCCTCCAGTGTCACGTCTCAAATACCCAACCTGTTTTTCTATAGTGTTTATGAATATATATGTTCCATGTCTTTATAACAAATATTGTTTATCTTATTATCTGTGACTTAAAACCCTCTTATATCTCCTTCTATTATAATATCACCTCGTACTCGTTTATTCTAAGCATATTCTATTCTCATACATAGTAGTTAGATAGTGTATTTAATATTAATAATCATGTATATATAATTTATTTTTATTTTTTTTAAATATGTATTTTATGTGCTTCTGTGCATCTTTATATAACCATCCCTACTATCTATTATCACAGGCCTCGTAAGGAGGCCATATCAGGCAGCAATAATAGGAGAAAAGAAAGGATGAAAAAAAAGAAAAAAAAGTTCCTTTAACTTATTTTCTTCTTCCGTTCTATTCCGGGTTTGTTCTTATTATGGTGCTCTTTATGCATTTAGGATTCTTCGTTCAATCCACTGTCTGACTTCTTGGGGTGTTTTGTAGAAATTCCATCTATTATCGCCATATACACTTAGAGTCGCTGAGGAGTTCCAACGAAATTTAATGTTATGAGATTTTAATATAGTAATCTCAGCAGAGAAACTTCTTCTTTGTAATCTTGTTATATAAGAATAATCTTGGAATACGAGTATATTTCTCAGCAGAGTTTCTAGCTGATTTGGGGATCTAATTGCTTTGAAGACTTGGTCTTTTATCTTAAAGGAAGAAAAATGTACTATTACATCCCTTGGGACACTTTGTGCAATTCCCCTTGGTTTAGGGAGTCTATACCATTTATTCATTAGGAATGGATATAATGTAATGTGGACTCCCAATTTTTCAAATAATTCCTCCAAGAATGTTTTTAGTTCTTCATCCTTTACTTCTTCCTCTATATTTCGAAATCTGAGGTTCTGTCTTCTGGCACGATCTTCTATGATTCAAAAATTGCTTGTCCCTTTTTTTAATAATTGATTAGTCTCATCCTTCTCAGCAAGTCTGTGTTCCATTTGATTTAAACGTAAACTTAAATTCTCAATCTCTTGTTTAATACCCAAGGCGCTAGATTTAATTTCATCCTTAAGTGTTTCCACCATGGATGTATACACTCTTTTAAAAAAACTTGTGTTACAAATTGATCTTCAGATTCTTGGGAGGTCTCTAGTAATTTCTGGGGCACTTTTTCGGTATTGGCAATCATAGAGTTTTCTTTTGTGGCAACTGGTGAATAAAATCCCGGTGGATTCTTGTCGAGTTTATTCTCTTTTTTGTTCCTTCTTGTAGCCTGGCCTTTAGTCGCCATTCTAGCTACTCACTTTTCCTTTCTCCTTCTTTTTCCACTGGGTCTTCTTTTCCCCTTCCTTCTCTTTTCTTTTACCTTATCTGCTATGTCTCTTTAAGAGAGAGACATTTTCCAGAAGAGGTAATGACAGAGTAACTAAGAACAGGAAAGAAAAAAGGCAGAATCTCAATAGTTCTTTTGGACAGGAATAGTATGGCAGAGTCTCAAATACATTGGAATTTTTACTGCACATTTAGTCTGTCTTTACTTTTAACCTGTTATTACAATGGAGTATAGATATCGCTCTCTTTTTTATGTAAACCACGTCAGTAGTTGTTTTGGACAGGAATAGTGTGACAGAGTCCCGAAAGCAGTGAAATTGATTTTTGCTCCACATTTTGTCTGGCTTTTCTTTTAACCAGTTATTACATTGGTGTATGAATATCTTTTCCCTTCCTTTTCCTATGCACCTTGTCACAGTTGTCAGGGGTAAAATCTATTTTAATTTTCTTTATACTCATCTGCTGCTGCACTGGCCTCTTTCCAGATTAGTTGCTGTTTTCACTGATGTTTTATGCCAATCTCCGTACGCTGTCCACCTCAATACCGGCACCATGCTCCCGGCGTTCATCTGCTCCAGTTCGGCTCAGCCCCAGACATCAGCACACGCGGATAGACGTCCTCGCCCCGATCTTTGACCCCTCTAATAAGACTCTCTCCAATCCCTCCAAACAGCTGCCGCTGCCTCTCACGGAGGACTCCCAGACCAGCTTCAATAGCTGCCGATGAATAGCAGACAGCAATTGGCATTGAGACTGCAATTTCTGGCATGGCATTTAGCTCCCATTTGCTTCAGTTGCGGTCAGTCTCCTCCTTCATGAGTGCGCTCGCCCATGCGTCACGTCTCGTCATCCGTCCCACCTGATTGATAGGCTTATCAGTCATTTTAATAGAAATTAACCCTTTCAGTGACACTTTTATCTTTTTTTCTTCTTCCTCCAATGTGTGCACTGGCTAAGCCAGGACTAAGTTAGGTTGTGATGTCAATTAACTGCTAAAACTTCAAAGATATACACTAAGCACCATAAGGCATCATAAACCCCCTGGCACAGCCCAATAGTAATCTGTTAAACAGGTTTGATATTTACCTGACTCTGTGGAACTTCTATGATGTTTCTGGTCTAATCTGCTATGGCAGTGGTTCCCAACCTCTGGTACACGTACCCTCATGGATACAAACCAGTTCCCCCAGGGGTACGTGCAAAAAAATCTGTTAGGCAGCTCACAGGTTGAGGTGGCCCATTGGGTGGCCCATACACTTATGGTCACCCAATGGACATGTGCCATCAGTGTCCCAGTCATGCATCAGACTGGGCCCTTATTGATCCACATCATCTTAGAATTCCATATGATTCGTGGGTGGTACAAAATACTATTGGACTGCTTGCTAGCATCATAATAACCCAAATTCGATCGGATGAATTCAACATTCGGACCTGAATTAGTTTGCACATAAGAATATGCTGTGTGTCAGGGCACAGGCCTGTGGGTCCAGGTAAGAGACTAGTGATCCTGACAGGGAGTCAAGAAGTGATATCTTGTCACTTCCTTCTAGTTAACAAAGATTGATCTGTGTGGGACCAAGAGAAGAAGGCAGAGAGCAAGAGGTGGACAAGCAGTGCAATTCCCAAACTCTCAACAGCCCTAGCCAGAAGAAGCCACCTTCCACTTTTTGTGTGTGTCATTGTCCCGTACCCCAGGCCCTGTTGTGTCTTTCTGTCTTCTGACAGGAAGCTTTTCATTGCTTCAAGCGAGCACTTCCTATCAGACCACGTAAAGGATGAAGAATATCCTCTACCTGCTGTCCATGCAGTCACACTACCATAAGTGACTGGCAGGAGTGGGAGCACTCTGCTGTGAACTTTATTCCTGCTGGTCATCTGGAGCCTGGACATTGCACCTTCCAGGCCAGTGCGCTGGCCCTGCCTGTCACGTGTATGGAGAACCTGATAACCACTACACTACAGAAACTGTGGGAGGGTACCTCTACAAACCTGGTGTGGTAGAGTGTCGACCATAACAATTATTGAGGGGTGGACACTATTGTGCCTATGCGTGTGAGCTGGGGGACTGTCAGGGATTCTCTACTGTTTTAAACAGCAATCCTTCCTCTTGCTGTGTCTGAGCTATTCAGCTGCTTTCTAACGATCAGCCCCTTTATTACCATTTCCACAGTTACTCACCGGGTTGTCAGCACTTATGTTAATCAATGCAGCCTATTAAAGTAGCAAGTTCCAGTACCTTCTTGGCCTTGCGTGGCTTCCTGTTTCCCAGAAGACTTCCTGTTTCCTTTTTTTTCCTGTGTATTCCTGGTTCCTTACATCTGGAGATGTTCATGACTCCACTGCTCTCCGTTCTCCTGATTTCGCCTTGCTTTGGTGCCTGACCCCTCTTGTCTCCAGGAATTTGCTTTTGGTTTATTCCATTTGTTGCTATTTATTAATAAACATGTGTTGCATCTACATTCTGTCACTCAACACCCATAGATGGGGGCTGGGATCAGGGCCAGATTAACATAGAGGCTGATGGAGCTGCAGCTCCAGGCCCATGCCCATGCCCTTGCCCATAACTGTTTGACCAAATGAATGAAAAAAAACTACATTTTGTCCATGCACAATCTCCTATCTCCCCATCAAAGTTGTCAAGTGCTTCTGGCAGCAGCTGCTAACTAGATACAGCTGCAAGCTAAGCCTATGTCTCACACTAGAATCAATCCCCCAGACTACGAAAGAGGAAATTTTCTTTCCCTTGTTACTGAAAACCACAGTACCAAAAAGAAGAATTTTCTTTACTCCAAACAAGTAACAAAAAAAACAGAACAATTTTTAACAACTGAATATTGTAACCTAGTCTCACACTATGATTAATGAAAAATGCCTGTCAATCTCGTATCTCTCACTCAAAGTTATTTCACATTCTCCTGGCAGTAGCTGCTAGCTAAATACAGCAGAAAGATAAACCTTGTCTCATGCTAGAATCGATGACCCAGGCTATCTCATACTCCAACACAGGCACATCAAGGGTAACCACACAGGATCACTGCTGGTCTGCCTCCCTTAATAGCTGAAGTCAAAATGTCTGGAAGAAGTCTGCTTGGATGTATAATTGTTTAATGATTCTCCTTTTTCCATGTCTTTTGGACACTTCACTTTCTCTTTGCATAAATTCAGCATTTATTGGTTGTCTTCTACCCATCAATCACATGTTTTTCCTACCTCTTTCTTATACAGAAAATCTAGCCCACGTGATTGGGCAAACCTCTGTCCATTATGGCAAACTAAGCATTTACTTGCCCTCATAAAAAAAAAAAAATAAGAAATAACCTCTATTCCATTTCATTTAACTTTTTTGGTGTCCGGAAGACCACTCTGAAACACAGACGAAAATGTAGTAAACAAGTACAGGCTCACGTAAGTCAATTCCCCCAAGATTCTGGTTTGTGGCATCTCAGAAACTGGATTTTTGACCATCACCTGAATGGCACAAATTTGGCCAAATTGCAATTTGGTCAAAAATGAATCTCCACGTGAATTTTAAAATAAAAGATACTTTGGTGTGGTGCATGTTATCACTGCCAGAAAGAACATTATATGAAGTTAGTATGCATTCTCACAACACAGTAAGTATGCGCTGGAAAAACTAAGAAAAGAAAGGTATATAATGAACAGGAAACTGACAGTTATCCAAGGACTCTGCTACCTGTAAACATATCATTTGTATTTATCATTGATTAAACATTTGCATATTTTTCCTAATCAATTTTGAATATGGAAATGAATATGGTTATAAGTGACTCTCTGACATAAACTATTGAATGAGTTTTTAATTCCGGCTGATTGTCAGTGGACCATATAGTCTGTCATCATGGCACTTTAATTTGCATTGAAGGAAAAAAAGCTGACATGTCATTTGTCTACCTTGATATATTTGCATTAAATATAGTGATTTTAAGAGCAGACATTCATTCTTTAAGTGGGATTAAGCCAGAAGTCGTTATTCCTCACAGTGAATGAAGATGCTTACTCCATCTCTGCTGATATACTGGTCACTCACAGGAGTTATAATCACAGCAGGTATCATCATCAGCATACTTTTTCTGTTTGCTAACATTATTCAATGGTCAAACAGCAGACATTTTAAGCCATGTGATAAGCTACTGGCAACGCTGGCATTATTTCGATGCCTTCATTACATTTCAATGATTTTTACCATGGTCGAAGTGATCTATTTTTCACTAAATTTTATAAATTACCTACCTGGTTATCTCAAATTTACCATCTCAGTTGCTGTTCAGTTTTTAGACTTTTCCTCTTTTTGGATTGCAACCTGGCTCAATGTTTTGTACTTTGTCAATATTGCATTGAATCGGCATCCTCTGGCCTTGCGTCTCAGACTGTGGATCACATCAGTGGAACTACCAGCACTTCTTGGATCTACGTGTCTTTCCCTTGTGTTTGGAACTGTTCACTCTTGGAGTTTTAAAAATCCATCAACTTCCCTGAATTATCTCTCTGTAAATGTAAGTGACTCAGTCAGACTGGGATGTTGGATAGCTTCCAATACATTTGGTCGAATCCTTCCTTTCATAGTGCTCTTTGTTTTATCCTGTATATTGACATATAAACTCATGGCACACGTAATTCAAGTAAAGAACAATTTCACTGGTTCCATGAGACCGCAAGTCAGTGTCTTTTCTGCAGCTATTAGATCTATCTTGCTTTTGGGTTTATGTTCTATGTGTCAGTTGG